CTATCCAAGGTGCCCGAAAACAGTTGARAACTTTACAACACACTGCAAGAATGGTTACTATAACAACCACATATTCCACCGCGTTATAAAACAGTTTATGATCCAGACAGGCGACCCTCAAGGTAACGTAACCTGATTATTTCTTTGTTTTCTAGTTGTGATTTGTAAAGCGCTATAGTAAGCAATGGAGAGATGAAGCGAATGCGAACAGAAAAGAACGTGTTGGTGCTTTTGTCTTGAGGCCGCTTCGTCTTGCAATCTATTCGTAAATTGYAAAGACGGTTTTACACGTTTAATTTCACTTGTCTTGAACTTTTTTTTTTCAAAGCAAAAATAGAGTATAATTTAAGATAGCTTTAGAACTGCTTCGTGTCCTGTGACTGTCTGGACAACTGGCTGTTGGCGACAGTGTACTTCTTCGACCATGGCTGCGTAAAGTTGTGTTGCTCTTTCTGAAAAACGAAAAATTCGATAGATTACTTACTTAGCACTCGTGCCGGACGACAACCCCAACAATTTTTTTTTCTTATGATACCTCTTAAAATCCCTATTCTCTGTTGCGAAGGTTAGCCACTCTCTAGAAAGTGTATAAAAACAGTCAGGGCACGACTATCACACAAGTCGAAGTGAAAAACCCGAAGAAAACCCCTCGAATCAAGGGAGAGATCTAACAAACTCTACTCACATGTCGATACCGAGTTCATGACTCGAACCCAAGAGCCCTGAGGTGAGAGCACTACCGTTATGACCTTTGACCCCAAGCCCCTTCCCGCCAAATRATGACTTTAGCTTACCTTCCGCTTCAAGTTCCTTTTCAAGATGCTTTTTTTCAGCCAACAAACACATTTTTCGTTTTCTGAAATCCTCGATCATATCCTGAGGTCGCTTCGCAATTTCCTTGGGTGATATCTTGATGGTTKCCCAATAACTAGACTTAAGTATTTTTCTCTTTTCAACACCGTTTGTGTTGCGGATTTTTTTCAAGAAAAAGTAATTTCGTGAATTGAGAACATTCCCTACTCTGGCGCTAGAAGAAGCTTCTAACTCGTAACCCAGGAGTGCAAGATTCTCCTGTAAAACATCGAACAAGCGAGGCCGGTTAAGAGTCCTCCACCTCCAAAGAGCTTCGCCTTTTAACTGAAGTATAAACATCGGGTTTGCGTCCTTCATAGATGGTGTTGACATTTGAAGAAATGCTGGATTAACGAGGGACTCATCAGTGAGCTCTGAGGAGAGCTTCCCGTCAATTCTCTGCTTTTTGGTCGAAGAACTCATCGTTTGCCTTTGAGATTGCAGTTCACTCGTCGTGTCAGAAAATCGTGTACAAATGACTGGAATGATATTTAGAACGCGGGTTTTATATTTATCCAGGGTTTGAATAATAATCAGTTATCACCCTCGGCCTGCTCATTGGTATGCATCCATAAAACAATACCAGCGCAAATGATTTCGTTCGTGGGATGGAGGAGATTGACGTTTGACGGCAAATTTTAAAGCGCGTCGAGAAAAGGAAAAAAAGCGGTTAACATTCTTCAATGCASCTGTCTGTGGTCGATGACTGTCGTTTGATGGTTTTTCTTTTACGATTTCTTAAAAGAAGAAAATCCACAATATTAATGCGTCTAACTCAAATGAAAATTTTTTCTCATTTTCTCAAGTCTAGTTTTAATGTTTCACACCGTTTTGCGTCCCTTTTAATCAATCGGCGTCTTTATCCAATCCCTTTTGTTCGCTATATCCCCTTTAAAATATATATAAACCTTTCCTTGCCTATCATTTCTTCTCCTTTACTACAGGCTATATCGGATACCTTAGTTAAGTTGGCATTTAAGTTCGTTATCATTCCTTTATGCAACCGCTATCAGTGCAGCTTTCTATGTAAATGTCCGTAGATTCGGCTGGATAGAAGGCTATTTAACCATTTTACCACAGTTGTGAATTTCTCGCTTTTTGATTGGTCTAGAGCCGTTGGAAAATTCCCCTTGTTTTTGTAGTAAAATTGTTAATTTTCTTACCCTGCTACGAGAGGGTGTTTTTTCTTCATTTCCGTAAGTCTGAACGGCAGGCTGGAGGGAGGAGACARGAGACAGGCCCCGACCTACACCCAAAACGGACGGCAGAAAAAAACTTTTGCTAGACAGCAGTAATTACTGTAGCCTGCACTGCATCCGGAATTTTCTGTCGTAAATTTTCGAGTAAACGTTCGGAGGCACGCAGGCTATAATTACTGATGACAGTGTTTTTCCGTATTCCCTGCTAGGCGATGGCACAGGAGGAGAGTCCATATGGGGAAGAGAATTTGAAGATGAATTTCATCGTAATCTAAGACATGATAGACCCTACACAGTCAGCATGGCTAACGCAGGCCCCAATACTAACGGCTCACAGTTCTTTATTACTGTGGTGCCTACGGTAAGAACTACATTCACTTCAACTCGATTGCAAAATCATTGTGGGCTTTAATTAAGTTTCTGTGGGTTATAATTTTGTTACGATCCTACTTCAGTAACATCGCGCGTCATRGTGTTTCTGGTGCTTGCGTTTGTAATACGGATTTGTGGGGGAAACATACCGTAAAATTYCGCCGAGGTAGTATAGAAGCCATGGCCTTATACTTATTCGTAAAGGTTTTTTTTTCCATGGGCTTATAATAGGGGGGCTTATAACCGGGAGGAAAAGAGTTTGGGATAAAAAAGGAGACGCTTACTTTTTTCTCTTACGTTCCCAGTCAATCCTTATGCTTCATGAACGAAATAAACACGAGATTCCAAAGGAGGGCCTATAACCGTGGGGAAGGGGGAGGGGGGCTTATAACTGAAAGGATATTTGCATTAGCGGACTACGTGGGCTCATGACCGGGAGGCGCGGGGGGCTTAAAACTGATATAAAGATATTTGCATGGAGGGAGGGGGGGGGGGGTGACAGTGTTGACAGTGCGCGACCAGTGCACGACTTTGCTATCCACATTACCTTAACTTTGGAAATACATTCAACAATAGGTGGATATTGTATTACTAATGGATTTTTTTATTTGAACAGCCGTGGTTGGACAATAAACACACTGTGTTTGGCCGTGTTATTAAAGGAATGGACACAGCACAACAGATAGGCATGGTCAAGACCCATCCGAAAACCGATAAACCATACGAAGATATCAAGATTATCAATGTTACTTTAAAAGACTAACATCGACAAACGAGATACCATTTCCAGGAACTGCTCTTAATCACACTGTTTGCCATGGAAATATATAAAGAATTTTAAATACCAGTGCAGAGTTATAAGACATTCATTCTTTGGGAATCCTTAATTCTTGGTTTGCAATCAATCCCAAGAGAGCACAATAACAAAAGGGATGTCCGCCATGTTGGAAGATATAACAAAAAGAATTCATTGAAAAATCTTGTCAAATTCTTCCAACATGGCGGCTATGACGTCTATTGCAAACGAAGAATAGAGTGATAGCACATTTGAGTCGTGCAATACAATTACACGTTATCATCTAATACGCAACAGTAGACACTCGGGATGCGTTTACACGGTATCGGACGAATTTTTAACCGGTCAAAAATTTGACCTGTACATAACGTTTACACGTCTCCTTCATTGTATAAAAAATACATTTMCACGGAGCCGGATTCAAATTGGCACGGTTAGGTCTACGAATTTTTAGTTCGGATAGCTCAGTCCCGGGTGAATGGAACCCCTAATAGACTATAAACGTATAGTGTGTGCAACCATGTGACTCAAAATCCCTTGAGATATAAATAACAATGAAACAGCCGCCAACTTGGTTGATCTAACAAGAGAATCTAATGAAGAATGCTTTGTTATCGTCAACCGAGATGGCGGCAATGACACCTGCACCTGCTCTATAGCAGGGCTGTCAACCCCCGAGATATTCAAATCTGGAGAATTGATAGGGAAGGGACACACGTCACATCGCGTCAAAAAGCGCGCGAAGACATCTTTCGCTTTGTAACATTTGATGTGATTGGTTTATTTCTGACTAATCAGATTATCGCTTATATTACAATGGCCTGCTTGCAAGAAAAGTTTATGAGGAACGTTTTGATTTTGTTAGCGATTTAAAATAACACAAACAACACAAAATAATCGGAATTTTATGGTTGTGAAAGTCGAGTCTCACAAGAAATGGTCAGCTTCGGCGATTATCCGGGAGATTTGAGACTCTAATCTGGAGACCGGGAGATACGGTCCAAAATCTGGAGACTCCCGGTTTATCCGGGAGAGTTGACAGCCCTGCTATAGCTAGTACAACTTTTTGAACGGTTACCGTATTATCGGTTAATGTATTCAGTAAATCTCTAAATCTTTATAAATACATCATTTTACAATAACTTACAAATTTTTCGCGCGCAGAGTGTTCCCTTTAAATCATCAATAAGAGGACAGACAGATAAAGCTGACGTCAACGAGCGCGCGCTCTTTCCGTTGGTTGTTTTGATCGCTAAAAATAAGTTTTTATAGTTTTTGTTATTGTAAAAAACAAATTGACATCAGATTTTTATGTGTCTGTCCTCTTATGGACAATRCGTTTCGCCATCRCATTGTCAAAGTAGTATGCTACTATGTATACTACTTTGACAATGTGATGACGCAATTTATTGTCAATAAGAGGACAAACACAAAAATCTGATGTCAATTTGTTATTCCGACTGCACGCTACGTAGGCTATCCCGTCATCAACATCCTCGTCAACCATTTTGTGTACTTCTTTACTTAATAACTTATTAAACAAACAGTGAAAAATATATATTGTTTTTTATGTTTTATATTATAATTCGAAAAATTCAGATATACAAGTATAATACAGTCAACTGCCTAACAGTCYAAGACCCGCAAATGCTAATAATTACAAGACTTAAAATTGTTAATTCTTTCATTCTTTTTTCCTTTTTGAAAGAGTTTTTTTAATAAATAACTATAGAATTTACTAGTCAATGGTTGAAAATAACATTCCAATACGTTTGAAACATCTTTGTGTCTGTGTTATACATCGCACAGAACAGCAGTTCAAGGGAGGGACTTTGGCGATTAATCAAATCCATCATCCACTTGTTCTTCTTCGTTTTGCTTGGTTGGTGGGGATGACTGATTGATGAACGTTAACAGCTTACGAAGGAAAGACACCTACAAGATAAATTATATCATAAGCAAGGTAATTTGCCTGAGAATGTTCTCAAAACAAGTGTGTATGTGTGTGGGGTCGCCGGGTAGGGGAGGGGAGGGGAGGGAGAGGGGTAGGAAAGAAACCATGCACCACTGCCATCATTGAGTATGAGAACATAGAGATTCATGGGTGGAGTAGCTGTAGTGCATGCGGGTTCTATCCTTGTAGTCGGCATCACATCCCTTGTTTCACGGATTCTTCAGTTTCCCTACCCTCCTACCACAAAAGCTAACATGCTCAATTTCAATCGTGATCTTTGAGTTAGCTGTGCCTTGACGTTCACCATAGTATTGATGAAAAGTTTTTTAAAGGCTATCAAGGCTATCTACATGAGCTACCCCTTTTCAGGGTTTATTAATCTGTCTTACTTATTGTCCTCTTCCTCTTACATATTTAAAACACCATTACTGATCCTAAAGACATTGGTGAACATTTTAATAACTTCTTCTCCTCAGTTGTTGATCAATATATCTTAAATCAACAGCCTGCAACCAACTTTGATAAACTGAAAGTCATGGTAAACTCAAGGATTAAGGATGATCTGAAATTTAATATTCCTCCAATAACCACAGAATTTGTACACAAGTTTCTGTCTACCATGGACATTAATAAAGCCACAGGACTTGATAGTTTGAGTTCTAAAATCCTCAAATTATCTGCG